CACCCTCTTTAGCTAGCTCGACGCTATAGTTATTATAATTAATATAAATATACCCGAGGATTAGTAAAGTACTTTTTAATAATACGGAATTTAGCTAAGTAATAGTATAAATACTATAAATAGCTAGGCTAGTATAAATATTAAGATTTAGTATATTAATATTAGTTTAAAAATTATACTTTATAAAGCTAAAAATCCCTTTAATATAGGCTATATTATAAATATAAAGGAATATATAAAGGGCTCTTTAACTTTTAATAAGAAGGAGTATATAATATAAGATTTAGCTACTTATATAGGCTAGTATTAAGAGGTTTTATATATATTAGAGTAGGTATAGCTCGCCCTCTAAATAGCTAGAAGCGGGGGAAGGTCGGGAGCTGTTAATAAAAAGAAGATAATAGTTAAGTTAGTTAACTACTACTACGGTTTTAATTAGTAGTTAGGTATAGAGCGCAATATACCTAGTTTTCCCTAATACGTAATATACGGTACGGCCCTAGCGGATTGCTCTATCGGGGGGCTAGTTTTAGTTATATATATTAAGTTATAATAAGTAGTTAGGTAAATTAAAATAACTTATAAATAAAGGACGGTATAGGGGTACTAGGGGCGAGGCATAGCTAGGTACCGTTTTATAAGCTAAGTTATCCGTGATCCCGCTCTTCTAAATAAGCCGGCCCTTATTGGCTTATTTAAGGGAGAGCGGACGGGATCCCGAGTTTTCTAATGGGTATAGTCGTATGTGGTAGAGCGAGGGCATCGTAACGTAGAAGTCACCTTGCTTGGCCCCAAGCGGCGGTCACCACAACCCATTTTCGTGCAAGTATGAGTCGCTGTCGTAACTGCTACGGACCGTATATCCTATGGCATCGACTGTGAAGATTTATCGCGACGAAAAAAAATGACAATGCAATGGCAGTGGACCAGAGCGTCCTGTCCCGTTTTCTCTGACTGACCGTGTGTGTGTGTGTGTGCATGGGTGAGTGTCATCCCACTCGGATCGTTTTCTTTCTCTGCAACGAGGTTTGTACACTGTTAGGCCTGTATCTCGAGGTAGCTCTGATTTCCATTTGCCATGCTAGGGTAAAGAATCACGGTCTAGCCCTTCACTGCAGCCACTCGCGGCATGGGCCTCCAAGTCTCGCCTTACCTACAATTGTGTAGCGAGCGGCGTTTGCCTGTTCGATGCCACAACTCTTCGCTCGCATTGATGCAAAACATATCGCAGGCGACAGGCGAGAGTGCTGACTCTTGTCCATTGGACCGCGGGCACCACCTTCGAGGATTGGGGTGTAGCCAGCTTTGCCTCCGCGTCTCGGAGACCAATTGTCGTCCGATAGGTTCCGCGCCGGCCCGCGGATGGCCAGTGCGAAGCTACTATGCAACTCGGGCCCATGACGGCAAAAGGGTCTGAGGTTCGGACCTCGGTGAGAGTCCGTATACTTCCTCGTCCATGGATGTTCTCTGCTCCTCCAGCTGGGGGCCGGGGCGAGGTCCCGAGCTCCCACAGTTCCGAGAATTGCTCCGCCGGCACCGTCACGTAATCTTGAAAGTAGCAGCGGGCAGCGGGCAGCTCGCGATTGAGTCATGGAGGCTGTCTTTTTGTGCACCTGGGAATTTGCTTGGGCTCCGTGTCCGACTGCCAACGCCGGGTGATGCGCGAACCACGATACGCAAGCACCGTTCGGACCAGGGTAGGAGAAATGGGGTCATGCCTGATCGTTTCTGGGTCTATCAGCGCGCCGGAGCCACGTTCGGCGCAAACGCTCTGACATTTCTAGCCAGAGTGGACAACGGTGTAACATCGTTGCTCGTCTGCTTGTGAAGAATCGGATATTAAAAAGACCCAAAGAGGTCGAGCCAAAATTCAGGAAATCCACGATAAACCCATGATGAAAATGTCATGTTTTGACGACAAGCGCGGCTGATTTGGATACGGCCTAGAGGAAACAAAAGTCAGAGGTACCTGCATGTCCGTACCGGCAATAGGGAATGTGTTTCCATGTAATGTTTCAACGCCCTTGCTTGCAGACCCAGGCAGCGGGGATGAACTTTTTTGCCTCGTGATGCGTGCCAGGCTCTTGGAGTTACTGTGGGCTGCATGAAACGGCCCGTGTCCGTGATAGGCATTTCCCATTGATAAGCCACGATACGGATATACGATCAAGTGGGAAAGCTCAAATTTTCTCGTCCAATTCTAACCTCTTGGCCCTGGTCTCGGGCTAGAGCAGAAAAAGCATCTTGTGCGCGGGACCTTTGAATCTTTGAAGAAGAGAAGACAGGAAAATGCGAAATAGGGGTTGCCTGGTCTGATTTCTCGTTGGATGGGGGCGGCCAGGGACCACCACGCGCTCAAGGATCAAGGATCGTGGGCCATGGTCGTGGGGATTGGTGCTAGCGGCCTGCCTGCATGCGAGGAGATTCGGAATGGAGCCGTTTCCCTGTTTGGGAATCCAATGTTTCTCGCTTGACCGAGAAGTCGAAAACGCGATAAATGACCGTACGTGAGACTGGGTTAAGGCAGAATAGCCAGTCAGCATCGCGCAAGCCTTGGTAATAATTCACGGGTGTCGTTGACTCGTGCTGGATGACGATCTTTCTCACACCATAGTCGTGACTGTCGCATGAAATTTGAATAGCGTTGTCGTCTTAAGCCTTGCGACGATCGCCACATGAAAAAAATTCCGATAGCTAGCCGAGTAGCCATGCCATCAACGGTATCCGTAGTCGGCCTCGCCAGACCAATGGCTGAAAACCTGATCAGAAGCGGGATGGCGGAGGGGAGCGTTTGACGTTTGTAGGAACAGGCGGCGAGCTGTAATGCAGCTTCCCTTGAGTATCCCCATTTGCGGCAGATAACCCAGTTTAACTTGGGCTGCTGAAACGGGATTATTGGCGACACGGCTCGGCGCATCGGCTCCTTGAGCGTTTGCTTGGTCTGCCGGACCGTCGAGCACACCGGACCAATTGAGATGGGGTCACGTCTCTGTACTTGTAGGGAAGGCATGGAGCTTCAAACGGAGGCCGGGTCATGGCCGGATTGCCAGGGTGTTAGAGAGAAGGTGATATCTTGTTGGCGGAGCTGGTTGGATATGGTCTGCTAGCTCAGGAACGGACCTAAATCATGGTATTAGGCGGCGCGCGGCGTGGACATGGGAGTCAGTAATGGCCCGAAGGAGAGAAAACTTGGAAGACATGGTGTGATGGTTTTACATTTGCTAGACCCAGCGTAGTCGAGACAGAGGAACGCAAATGTTTAGCAAACGACTGTGATGTTGTTCCGAGGAATGCTCGTGCAGATGACAATCCGATGTTGGCGCTGTAAATCTACACGTCGTATTAGAGTGGAAGGGAGTAGCGGATGGGATTACCGCGTGCCAGACAAAGCTGTTGAGACGCGCCAGTATGCATCCATCAGACCTTGATGGTGATATGTATGGTGTGCAGCAGTGTGGACTGAGTAGTGCAGCTAAGAGGGTGTGGTGCAAGTTGTGCTAGTGCAGGTTCACGGACAATTTGCTGCAGGCGTCGACTTGGTGCATCTTGGATCGTGTTGCTCTTGCATATCAGTGGCTGTGAAGCCAAGCTTTCCACGTCTTTTGCCGCAGCTTTGAAGGTAAGAGTGTGACAACAACCATGGACGGGACGGCACAGTTGAGAGTATGGCAGAGTTGGCACTAAGGTATTCGTATGGCAGCTGAGAGCAAGAAAGCCCCTGCTGCCAATGACAGGCTCTGTGACTCGGGAGACACCGCCGATCATGCTAAATGTTTGACGTCTAGTCGAATGAGAGGAATTTGCAGTGGAAAATAAGGTAACAACGTTTGGTGATTGGAGAAGTCGATAATGCGAACTCTAAGATTACGTGTTGCACGTCGGGAAATATGCACTTAGGTAAGCAATGTTCATGCAGCAGGCAGTGGCATCCAACCTAAGGTAGGTAGGGGGTACCTAGCTGGGAGGGGCGATGGAGGAGGGGAAGGGACGGATGGGCATGACGGGCAAGATGCCACGGGCACTACTAACTTTTGTTGCCGCGGAAGGAAGAGAGATTGGAGAGGCAGGCACGTTTGGTGCATTGGAAATGGCAGGCAGTGGAGGCTGGCAGGCAGGCGCAATTGCAATTGTCAATGTCAGTGCCACTTCCAACTTTCACGTGGGCTCTCGGTCCCCGTTTTCGTCTTGTGCCTACCTAACGAGGTCAATCTTCGCACGGTTGGAAGAACGGACGTCTGTCTTATGTAAGTAAACAAGCAGAGTGCCAGAGCTATCCAGAATGGGGGGCACAGATGTTGGTAAAGGTCCAGCCCGGCGCCTCAATCTGGCATCTCAAACTGCCATCCCAGCAAGGCGGAATGCCAGGTTCAGGTCGCTTCCCGAAAAGATCAGAACACCAACCTGAAGCAATGGGGCTCCGGGGTTCATTCGTCAATGAGGGAGACTCGAAGGGAGCAGAAGAAGAAGAAGAAGAAGAAGAAGAAGAAAAGCGAAGGGGATCTACGGAGTATGCGTACTCCGTACGATGCGTGGAACAATCCGCAATTCTGCTTCGCGCGGACTTTGGTCACTCGGGGGCAGAGGCAGAGGAAAGAAAGAAAAAAAAAAGGAACAGCGGAAGAAAAGACGAAGACACCAAGTTGGCAGGCGCATCCTTGTCAGACGACCTCACTTGCGTACCCGGACACCTCTAGGGGCCCCAGGGTGAGTGCGACGCCATCCCACCCGTCGGGGAACGACCTGGCAGTTCTGGTTACCTGACAAACACGCAAAGTGCTGGACCCCTGCAGGACATCTCAAATCCAATCCAACCTATCCATCCATTCACCCATCCAGCCCAGTCCAACTGGACGAGCAGTCCAATCCCATTGCACAATCCCGCCATCTAACGCCCACGCCAGCACCAAGCAGCACCAAGCACCAAGCAGAAAAAGCACCGAGCAAGCAAAGGGAACGAACCAAGGGCAATCGTCCACCTCAGTCTACTGTCTAAGACTCCCCATCCAATTCAATTCCCATTTGACCCCCGACTTGCCGTTCCATTCTTCTACTCCACCGTCCCCGGGCCTTTCTTCCTCTCTTGGGCCTACTTTCTTTCTCACTCGCCGTCTCGTGTCGTTTCGTCTCTGGCCACTGCAGCTCCCCACGTCCTTGGAGCCCAACTCGATTCGACTTCAAGTAGAGCCAGCACCGCTATTTGTGCCCTCTCGATTTGCCCAAGACTTTTCAGTCTTCGCCCTCACTACTGCTCAGCCTATGGCTACGATTCAAGGCCAACTCAAACACCATCGTGGCTCGATACGACCGCCTTCAACCTCGTGGTACCGATACCTAGAGACCCAATTCGAATCCCAGCACGGCGGCTGTACATAGCCCGAACCTGCTGCACCAATTTACCTTACTCCGTACACTACCTTACCTGCTTCGTACTCCGTACTGCGAACCCTGCATTTATACGAGTACCTGGTACTGTACACTGCATCGCCTGTCCACCATTCCGCCTGCTCCTTCGTGCGCCACTGCACAAGACGAATACCCAATCTCGCTCTGAAGCATACCCTGCATGCTGCCCGTACCGTCACCAACCTCGACATTCACTCTCTCAGAACCCTTCACAATTCGGCTCCGTTTTCCCTACGAAATCCACCAGATCAGCGGATCCTTCCCTACGGATACCACTCCTCCCAGACTCTCTTACGTCGCACTCGCTCTCTTCTCGTCCACAACATCCACGCTGTCCCACCAGACCACAACCCGCACTCGCACTGGGTCCGATTCGACTCCCCCTGCTGCTCCGTACAACGACACACGCCACGGGCGAACCGCACACACTGCCTGTCACGCGTTCGTTTGTCGAGCTGGCTGCTGGCGGATCCTGCAATTGCCATTTGCAAACCTCGCCTTTCAAACGGACCCATCCTGGCCCAACCTCGCTTTTGCATCAACAAAGTCAATTGATGACACAAACCTTCTGATCCGCACCATCGCCCACCATGCCTTCCACCGGTTCTAAACGATTTGAGCTCCCCAAGCTGGACTTCAAGTTCGGCTCCTTGACCGAGGGAACCAACATCCCCCCGCCGCTCCCCAGCCCCGTCCAGGAGGTCCCCACGCCTCCCCAGACCCCGCGTGTGAGCGAAACCAAGGACTCCGGGTCCGCCGTCAAGGAAAAGGTCGAGAACAAGACAAATGGTCATACGGCAGCAGTCCCAGGCTCGCCCGCCACCACCAATGGTACGAAAGGATTCTCGGATGACACACCACTCTCTCCAGCAGCGTCAAGCAGACAAGGCAGCATCCGTCGTCTCTTCAGCCGGACATTACTGAACCAAGCATATGCAGAAGGCGAAACTCAGTCCGCCCACAATCGTCCCATGAGCCGTAGTCAAGGCAGCATCGTCGACGAGAAGAAATCGAAGCGAAGCAGTGGTTGGTTCAAGAGGTTGAGGACTAGCGAATCCTCCCCGCCACAAAAGCGATCCAGTGTCGTCTACGAGCACCCCAACGTCAGCGAGACCAGCAGCCAAACGCAAAGCAAGCCACAGATCCCTCAGTCGCAGGCACAGGCGCAGGCACCTCAGGTCCAAGGACCTCCGCCGCCCATGATCCCCGAGCTAAGCGCCCTCCAGGCCAGGCTGGACGTAGGGGACGGGGGCAGTCTTGGAGACGACTTATTCAAGAACATCAAATAATTACTGACTAGATGCGGACAAATTCCGATACTAGTTATGACTAATATCTACAGAGCTGCCGGTTTTTGGAGTCGGGAACCGGCTTCTTTGTCGAATGCGAAAGAGAAAAAAACCACCTTATATACGCCGACGAGCGAACGACCGAATCCGAGCGGATGCACCAATACGATTTCCTAGCGTTTTCTTCAAGTTGAACTTCATTTCGAGCCAGGGCTGGGAGACGAAGAGGCGGGGATGGAACGGAGCAGATGTGACAAGGAGCGGAGGCAAGATTGGAAGAAGTTATGCAAGATACCCAGCTCGCGCCGCGGGCTCATTCTGACATACGTTGTTTACACTTTCTTTGTTTTGTGTGTTTCTTTTCATCTCATTGCGCTGTCTGGGAGGTACAGGCACCATGGACCCCAAATCTCTTTTCCTTGCGGGCTTATTGGTCAAACCCTTTCCTACTTCTACGACTTACCTTCTAATGTACATGTTGATGTTTACGGGTTTGATGGAGAAGCTTGTAGGGGTTAAGAAACGGTGGCGAGGCTGACGACCGATGGAGGAACGAGAAACAACTCGAGCTCGCGTCAGCTTTCACAATGGCACGAGACAGTGTGCAACTATCAATTGGCGAAGATGCTTTGGGCTTAGCCACGATGGCTGAAAACGCCATATCACGGAGCAGTTGGCCAAGTGCATCCTGATGCCGCTGGTGCTTATGTGGCAACCGCAGCAGTAATAGAGACTACATTTTACCACCTACACTGAGGTTCGCCACGTTATGAATGGGTGAGAATATCAGTCGGCTTCGAAGGACCGACGCAACGAAGCGAACTTGGTGAGAAAAGAAGATGGTGACAGATGGACCCCGCGTCATCCGAACCTGACGCTATGGCCCCTTGAACACATCATGTGGCGAGAGGCTTGCATCTGCAGGTTGTTCTTAGCGCGCAGAAGAGCCTAGTAAGGCCATGGCTAGTTTTTTTCTGCTGGAGAACGATGCTGCAGCAAAGTAGATCGCTAGAACATGTCACAATGCATTCTCGACGGTCCGCTGGAAGCTCGCTTGTACCTGTGCGGAATAGCGTGCTGCCGGACCATCTGTCGTACACGACCATATCGTATTCCCCGTGGGTCCGTTGAATACCCGGAGCCGCCGCCGTTCATGTTTAGACACCCTAGACGGCGTGCCGCGTCCGTCCCTTTTGCCGGAGCTGTTGTGTGGCGGTGGGAAGCTCGAGCCAATCGCGGAAACGGCGGGGACCACCGCCCCTTTCCTGTGCGGCGTGCGGCGTGCACATCCCAGGGGACGGCGCTAGTGGGCTGATTCGTCCGTTGTAATGGAAGGAACCTGTGGACGTCATTGTGAGACGGAGCTCCAGCTACCGGTCGCCCGTTTGCCGAGCCAGAGCCGGGACCTGAAGCTTAGAGCTACGGTTTTTTTTTTTTTTGGTGTCCCGCGATTAAACGTCACTTTTCCACAACCACCACACTGCGTCATCGTGCCCAATTGCCGACTAACTGTTTACAATTGACACATCCAACACAACAATGGCGGCGAGCTTGCGCACAAATACTGCGACGACGGCGCTTCGGCCGCTGACCTCGGCGCTGCGACCGGCTGCCGGCCGAACGGCGGCGGCGCAGTACCTACTCCCCCGTGTTGCGCGACGATACAAGTCCGGTCCGTACGGGTATACCCAGGCCAAGGCGCTCGTGTTCTCCAAGGAGGGCGAGCCCAGCGACGTTTTGCAGTACGTAGTCCGCCTTATCACCCACCGTCCAAACGAATAGAGACAAAACTGACACTTACGAAAACAGACTACACACACACTCCATCTCCCCCTCGATCCCCTCCTCCGCCGTCCTCCTGCGCGCCCTCGCGGCCCCCATCAACCCGGCCGACATCAACACCATTCAGGGCACGTACGGCGCCAAACCCCCCTTTACGCAACTCATCGGCACGCCCGAACCCTCTGCGATTCCCGGAAACGAGGGCGTCTTCGAGGTCGTGTCCGTGGGATCCAAGGATTCCGGGCTGAGCAAGGGCGACTGGGTGATTCCCAACGCCAGCTCGTTCGGGACGTGGCGCACGCACGCTGTCGCTGAGGCGAAGGATGTGATGAAGGTTAGCAAGGAAGGGTTGACGCCTACGCAGGTTGCGACGGTTAGTGTGAACCCGTGTACGGCGTACCGGATTTTGAGGACGTACGGGCCGGGGGAGATTCGTGCGGGGAGCGATGGGGGCATGAAGGCTCTTGATCCGGGGAGTGGCGGGTGGTTTATTCAGAATGGGGCGAATAGCGGTGTTGGAAGGGCGGCGGTGCAACTGGGTAAGTTGTGGGGGTTGAGGAGTATCAACGTCGTTCGGGAAAGGGAGACGCCCGCCGAGACGGAAGCGTTGAAGGAGGAGCTGACGGGGTTGGGCGCCACCGTCGTGGTGACGGAGAAGGAGTTTCTGGCGAGGGAGTGGCGGGATCGGCTTGCGGAGCTGACCCGCGGAGGGAGGGAGCAGGTCGGGCTCGGGCTGAACTGCGTGGGCGGGAAATCGGCGACGGCGGTGGCGAGGAGTTTGGGGGAGAGCGGGACGATGGTTTCGTACGGCGGGATGGCGAGGCAGCCCGTCATGTTGCCTACGGGGTTGTTGATATTCAAGGATATCAGGTTTGTCGGGTTCTGGTTGAGTAAGTGGAACGAGAGGGATCCTACGGGGAGGAAGTTTGCGATTGAGGACGTGTTGGGGATGATTAGGGAGGGCAGGTTTAAAGATGTCCCTGTCGAAGAGGTTCCTTGGAGCTGGGGTACTGAGGAGGGGGTTTTGCAGAGTGCCGTTCAGGGGACGCTTGGTGGGTTTAGGAAGGGCAAGGGGGTTTTTGTTTTTGGGGAGACGTGAGAGGTGTGATGTGTTAACTGCTGAAGGATGAGGTCGTGTTGATAGAGGTGGGTGCGGTGTTGTAGGATATGAGATTAGAGACTGCAGATGCAGCCTGTATGACAAGTGGTCTTCCGTGAGAGGTACACCATGCGAATAGGTCTGGTCTTTTAGCATGGTGTCACTTTTGATATCTAAACGAAAGGTATCATGCTCTTGAGAGGATTGAATCCCACATACGGAACTTGTGCCCCTTGGACGTCGCCCAAATTCTTACATTATCCATAAGGTATTTATGATTTCAGCAGTCTTCAGCAGTTCGGAGTCCTCCCGTCTACGATGTTTGCATTTTCTGAGTGGCGGGATGTAGATTTTGTCTTGGACGCCGAGATGTTAATAGTACTGCCCGGAGACATGACGAGAATACCTATCGAAGTGATACACTGGATAGAAATTCTTGGTATGCTTTCATTCACGCACTCAAGCCACGACAGAATATGAGCGGGTTAGGTACATGTTTCACGGGCTTGAGTCTGAACAAATTGCAACTTTTTGACGTAAGGGATCTCCTCCTGCTCTGCGTCTCCTGGATAAGGACGTCGTCGTTGAAGATGGAGAAATAAAACCCACGCGTGTAAGATTCCTTACGGAGAGTCCCGGGGCATTGAGAAGATATAGCTGCGTCGGTGAAGCAAGTATTGTGTAGATTGTCTCCCTGGAATACACGGATACTCTTCATATACTAGAGTGGGCAGATGCCAGATATCCAGAGATCTTGTATAACACTTGCTGTCCTGTCTAGTTCTGGAGTCAAGCAAGTGTTCTGCCTAACTTTATAGCTATGACGACTATGAGTGGAAGCTTGCAGGTCGAAATCGACAGATCAGTCCCTCGATCAGGCATTAATTTAGTATGAATGGAATTTATCTCTTTCAAATCACTCGCTCGCTTAAGCGATATCAGACTGAGCAATCCTGAGAATACCATCTTTGACCGAGGCACTCTTCTCTCCCCGTTTCCAGGAATACTACAAGACGCGGGTACCACGAGACTCATTCACTTTGTCCCTCAGCTATGTATCATTATTCATCCAGTCACCCCCTACAATAGAAGTACAACGAACGCACGACACCCGAGAGAAAAGAGGCCTTCGCAATTACGACGCGGGCCTAGAGCGACGAGAGGACAGCTGGACATCGAGTAGAGTGGAGACAGTATACTAGTCGGAGGGACGAAGGCTGAAGAAGCCGCAACGGTGAATGAAACCCAGAGAGAGGCTGAACGTTTTCTATATTCACAATTACGTGCCGCCGCGGAGGACCGTTGAAGACAGGAGCACGACGTGGAAAGTCAAAGAAGAGGATTCGAAAGGCAAGGGTAGTGAACGATTAGAAACGGCCAATGATGATCGCAGATGATTCGA